GCCATCTCGTCAAAGAATGAAAACACATCTTCTTGAATTATGCGCGGTAGAGCCAAGTGGCTGGTCGGGAATGTTCCCGAGTTGGAACACTACCAGCCGATCCGACGTGAAGCTCCCCTCTGTCATGCTCGGACAGGCATCATCCGCGAACTAAGGCAGTCTGCCACGGCCGCCAAAGTGGTGGCCGAAAACGGTACGCCATGGCATATGGCCAATTAAACAAGCCTGGTTTCCTATGATGTCTTTATCCTGTTATTTCCACGTGGAAGTGAGCCGCATTCTTCATGCTCAAGTTGAGCCGGATGCCCATAAATCTCGAGAATTGATTCCAAGTGCCTCGCAATCTCCTCCGCACGCAGAAGAGCGCAGCTTCATGACCGATACCCGCATGTGCAGCCGGACGAAACGTGCTCGGCTGCACCCGCGCGATGAATGCCCCCAGGTTTCTCATCGAGCATATGTCACTCGGCTGGCGTTTTGGAGTTGGAAGGCTCAAGATCATCGGCTAGACGTTTTCATTTTTGCGGGTCGCGGCCCTGCCCGCAGGGATCCCAGGATATCAAGGCAATGCACCTCCCTTTTGCACTTTGTTGAAAATGGCAACTGATCAGAAGTCATACGCTTTGGGGGCGATGCGTTTCACAAACCAAGGAGGACTGTGGCAGCCTCATACATCACATGGTGTCATGTTGCAGTGGGCCCAAGCTTATCGTATTCCCAGTGAAGCAGGTCCCTTGAAAATGGACGGGCGATTCCCCTAGCAGGACACAGCTACAGATTAGCAAGATTCAAAGCTTTCACTGATTGCCATTTTCACGACAAAGATATGAGGCAGGTCCCACGTCAGTACAGATCAGCTTACTGGTGCTTAGTAGGGAATAAGGGAAGAACATCCCTCTTATAACCCCTATATGATGTATTCCCTTATTCTCTACTACTAGCCGCAAGCAAGTCAGTATGTTCCAAGTTCCCAGGTCTCCTCCAATGAAGAGGAGGCCTTTGGTTCCTCGGGCAACCGAAGCGTCCTGACCATTCCGTGGACCTGGAGCACACTGGTAATAGGGCTGTCTCAAAAAAGAGGTCCCCACAAAGCTAAGGATATATTATATGTGTGTATAGAAATATATATATATATATGTATATTTATTCATATATATGGGATTCGAGGGCTTCGTACTTGTTAGTATATAGGATACCGTAAGATTGTGAGAAACACCCACTACCGCATCATTTCTCAGAAGCACAGAAAAACGCATTTCTACCTTCCAGCCTGTGCCACCTCTTTCTCGGGCACCCATTGGAGGTCATGCTCGATGGAAAACCTGCCAGATTTTTGCATTCTACCAGAAACCTGCAAGAAGCAAAGACGAACCGGCTGCAAGGGACATGCGAATTTTGTGAGACGTTGGGAAGCAAAAG